TTTTTCTGATAAAACATTCCTCGCGGTGTTCCTCGTGGCTTGTTATTTCATCTTTATTAAACGGCCGAGTAATAGGCATCCATGTACGTACCGAGATTGGAATGAAGGTTTCGATATTGGAATGGTGGACATGAAATCTGACCGATAAAGAACGATAAATAGCTTGTTGTAATGTATTTACTATGTATCTTGCCGTTTCTTGCACGGCAATTTATCCCGGTATATTTTAAACGAATTGTACGAGAGAAAGCCAAAGCTGCGGAGGTGGATCGAATATCCCCCGTTCCCTTGCATTTCGTTACAAAACTATATACGAATCGATCGTACGACTTTATCTTGAACGGGAATACCCTTCGAATTGCATTCTTCTTCGTAATTATACCTTTCCTCGAATCATCGATTACTCGTATCGTGAGCGTGAAATTGGTTAAACATTTTTCAAACTGGAGGAGGAGGGGGAGACACATGCACGCGCGCGCGCGCGCACACACACACACGTTCCTCTTTCTCCGTGTCCGAAAAGGAAAAGTGAGGAGACGTTGACCTACTTCTCGGAATGATACAAGCGGTGAAATATATATCGTATCGAAGCAAGGGTATCGAAGAACCGGGTCGAGGATTAAAGCGAGGATTAGTTGGACGGCGGCGCTCGTGCAAAAATTTCGATTTCCTCGATGGCCTGCCGCGATCCATCCCGTTGCTCGTCGATCTCGATGACTCGTATAATATTCTCGAGCCCTCGAGTCACGTCTCCTGCTGCATCCGAGTTTCTCGGATATTAATGTTGCAGGGTCGCGAACGAAAGAAGGGGAATCCGTGGAGCCTGGGGCTTGACTTTCGCTCGTCCGTTACAGCTTCTCTCGAGATCGGTCCTCTTCCTCCTCGACGTTGTTTAGTCCGTTACGTTTTTATTCCCATCCCGATGGATCGGCCTGATCACAATCGAATCGTTCCCTCGAATTGCTTTAAAAGAGAAAAGAACACGTTTGTTTTATGGGCTTGCAGAGTTTCATCCGGAGGATCGGTTTCACGGTTA